AAAGCTGTTTTGTAAAACACGTTTTGTTTCTTGTAGTGCGTTTACGGAAAAAACCAACAAAACTACGACCTTTACTTACATCAAGGAATGTCGACAGCACACTTCACAACAAAAATCAGCGCCCACCTTCACCCGATGACAGAATTGGTAGAGCTTCCGTTCCCTCAAGTAAGTCATCATTCATCCCATAAGATTACGTCATGAGCATGAAGACTTACGTCACGAGCCCGAACATTTAAATGGCGTAATACCAGAATAGTGGAGAACCAGGTTATCAAAATACCGTAAAACCTCGAATAGAAACCTGGGCTCATTCTTTTTTTAGGACCCTTGGATGGGCTTCTTTTCAAGATGGGCCTCTTTCGAGATGGGCTTCTTTTCGAGATTTACATTCGCAAACTAAAGAGGAAGACGTTCTTTCAAAATGAATGCTGTCAATTTTGGATTTGCTACATTTGCTACATTAAAAAATATTGAACAGAATTTGGAATTTTATTGAAATATTGAATTTTAGTTGAAAAAATGACATTTTTTCAACTAAAATTAAATGAAATTTCAAATTCTGTTCAATATTTTTTATAAAGTACATTGAAATAATATTGATACTGACACGCTATCATAATAATATAAGATAACGTCAGTATGAATGTAACAACTATCTCGAAAAAAGCCCAGTTATTTTGATTAAAAGCCCATGAGTTTCTTTTCGAGATGGGTTTCTTTTTTTTACAAACTTAAGAGGGGCTTCATTGTTCACCTTAAATATATCATGGGCTTATTTTTAATTCATTAGCTGTTTATTTTGTTTTAATGTTGTTCGCTTTCACTGTTCGATGCGATGAGGTCTGTGTGCATGTGAACATGCTCCAAGCAATTCTTCTCCCACATTTGGTGACGTCACGTTTAAAAGCTAAACGTGTTTAGGCATATCATGATATCAAATAATTAGCACATTTGATGGTATAAGCATATTAACACCCATAAGCATACTGGCTATGCATAAACACATTTTTAGCTTTAAACAAGTCACCAAAATCGGGTAAAGATGGCGTGGGCTGTGTTCCGAATTGTTGACATCTGATGCTGTGTGACTTTATTGTAAGTTGAATAAAGTCACCGCCATAGGTTAATTATGTCTTGTGTACCGGTAGGGCCTACTTTCTATTTGCCCTGATTTGTACGTAGGCATTGGAAGGTCCAAAGGCTCAGCGTCGTTTAAATGAACAGTTAAATTAAATTTTAATGTTTTGCTAAAGTATTATTACGAATCCTTGGCCACTAGCCTATGCCTCATAGTAAATCGGAATATCATACTATTTTTTCAGAGGGTGCGCATCCCAAGCATTGATCCAAGGCGACCAAACATAAAAGCAGAAAAGATTATTTCTCTGTTAGGCATTGAAAAGGAGTTTCATGTGATAACGACACGACCAGGAATCATAGACGAGGTGCTGAGAATTCCGTCGAAAATCCCGATTAAAATGGCATTAGTGGCTGGTAATTTCCAGCTAGCTTCCAGTTCGCTTCCTGGCGTCTATGCCCTCGTCAATCCGACGTGGCATATCCACGAAATGGGGCGGCCTACACTACCTGCAGCGTTCCAGCAATTTCCACAGCCTTTACACGATGTATTAACACCTTGGATGCGCACTTTCGAAGGTTAGATATGATGAGACATATACTTACTTATTTTATCAATATCAATGTATTATATAGGCATATACTTA